TATGGCCTTTCATTTACCTCTTTTATCCAGATATGTCAATAATAAAAATTGAAGTTAGTTGCAGGACGTTGCATAACTGACCCCAGCAATTTTCGGCTGCAAGTGATTTTACTCGGCAATTTAACGTTCAGTAGTTTAGGATTGCTTCTGAATGTATGGTTCACGATACCTTGGTCAAAACCATTGCAAGGCGGTCTGCTGCCTAATTGCTCAAGCTGGAATAAAACCCAGCATCTTTGAATTATGCAGCACATTTTTCCTTGATGTAAAGATCTTTTAGGATGTCAGTATTTTTTTTCTTCTCCATCCATCATATTCTGAGAATCTTTCGATAGCATTTCAGTTCATAAGCCTCTGTTTTCTTCCTTGAGGGCTGAGAAATAGTCCAGGACCCATAGCCGTATGTTGCTACAGGAAAGATGCATGCCTCAGATTTTGACTTTGATTTCCTAGCTGGTGCTTAACCATAAACTCTTAATGCTGTTGAATTAAAACATGATGAGTCTAAAATGTGTTTCTCTTGTGTGGACTGATAGCCTGCTGTATTAGCAGATCATAGGTAGGAGAAATTAATTTTGTTGTAATTTTTGTTTATTGTTTGTTATGTAACTTTATGGTGTAATTTTAATTTGCAGGACATTCCATTGTCACCTGTCTCCACGTACAGACTTCTTCTCTCCAGCCTTCAAGTTAAAAGTCTTTGGCCGCGATGGTGTCCCAAGGGAACATGGTTTTAGACAGGACCAAATCTATATAGGAAAATGCAATGGTAAGATAAGAGAAGATTTGATGATTTGTTTTTCGTAACCCCAGACTGTGCTCGTGATAAACATGGATGACAGCGGTGGTGCACAAAGACAACAACGGAGACAAATAATGAGGGTCAGTATGTAAAAATTTAACTTCAGAATCCTACCAGCCATAAAGAAAATCTCAAATGGCTTAGTATGAATTGTTTGATAGTAGATAAAAAGCAGAAGAACAAACTATTACACAATTTAATTGTCATTTTTGGTGTCTCCTTGTGCTTTACGCTACGAAGGGTGTATGTTTATTTCACGTCTGCATCATCATTAGGCCTATGGGTAAAATGTTTTTACCCCGGGGATCATCTTCGGAGCTAGGGTGTTCATGCTTTATGTGATGCTGTCAGCAGTGGCTAGCTATTCTGCAGAGAGAGACTGAACCATATGGAATAAAACCTGGGTCAGTAATGTTGATCCTCTGGACTTTAACTTTTAACCTTTTGGGATAACCATCTGTGAATAAAATTAAGGTACTTCATTTTTATGTCTAAATATTTTATTATTTATTGGTAGATGACTCTCTTTGGCAACTTAAAACATTGCTTAGGGCTGAGCTAGCACAAAGCCTTGTGGATATGGAAATCAAGAAGAAACTACCCCATTTATTCAACTTATTATTGGTTTACAGCTAAGCTGTGATGTCTGCATCTGCATGTCTGATTTCACCAAAAATGTAATTAGTTGCCTCTTATGATGACAGGCTTAGGGGGGGGGGGATGCGCTGAGTCTTTTCTTTGCTCACCCTCTCACCCCCTAATAGGCCCTGGAACTCACAGGGGGAGAAAGTTTAATCCACACAAAAAGGGGACACAGGATACCTAGGTTATAAGAATACATTAAGCATGGAAACTGGGAAAGGATTGAGATTCTTTCTAGTGGTCTGTAGTTAGAGATTTAGAGCAACATTCTGAATGGAATCTCCTTCATGAGGATGATTTTTGCTTTTTGTGTGTAGCATATGATCTTGTGGCTATCCTCCGAATAACGATCCCAAATTATCAAGGCCGAAAATATACCCTAACAGGGCCACAGTCACGTGTAAATTGAGGACTTTCGGCGACTTAAATTGCGGACTTTCGGCGACTACCGCCACTGCCAAGAATATCTCCCACGCCGCTACGTGCGGCGTGGATTGGGGCTAAACTAGATAGCTGGGACTCAGCAGCAGCTTCAGCATCTCCTGCAGCTTCCTTCATTTTATTTGCTCTTGAGTCCCAACCATCTAGTTTATCGCTGCTCCACGACGCATGTAGCGGCATGGGAGATACTCTGGGTGGTAGTCGCTGGAAGTCCGCAATTTACATGTGAATGAGGCCCTGTTGGATATATTTTCGGCCTCGATCATTTGAGACTGTTATTCAGAGGATAGCCAATTTTGTTTTTAATATAGAAGTTTTGATGTTTTAGAGTTATCTGTATACTGTGTTGCAGATAATCCAAATTCAGAAATTAGAGGAGTGTTTATTGATGGAGTCTTCTCTGGATCATTATTGTTTGAGGGACAGCTGTACGGAATTGAGGTAACCTGTGTCTGGTTTAAAAACAAAACAATTATTGTGTCAGATATTTAGGAGCTAACTGATGAACTGAAATCAGTGTCGGAACACTCCTGACACACCAGTGTGTTCTCTGCTTCCTTCAAAAGAATGTTTAAAATGCTGATTTCTTGCTAATTTACCTATATTGTCCACACAAAAATTGATGGGGTAGTTGTGATATGGAGGCAGAGAACACACCACATTGTATGCTTCTGCCTCTCTGTCAACTTGAACAAAATGGTTGCACGTAACATAGAATTTGTGTCCTCCCCCGTGTGGGTTCCGGGGCCCCATTGTGGGGAAAACAAGAATAGACCCACTGCCTCCCCAAAAGCATGTTGTAAGAGTCGACTAATTGGGGAGCTTCCTTTGAAGTCGGAGTGAATCTGCCAGAGAGGCAAGGAACCAACAGTCTGTATTCAAGAGAATGGGATCTGTAAAACCGATGCACATGCAACACTCAGGTTCTGGAGCAGGACTGCAGTTCAGTAGTGGACGAGCAACCAGAACTTTCCGCCAGAGTGTACAGCTGGTGAACGCGAAGAAGAAGAAGAAGAATTTGTGTCCTTTATTGACCCTCACTGTCGCCCTGTTTAAACCTGATCAAGTTAGAACATTACTTGCACGATTGCCTGTGGACTGCTGCATAATCTATGCAGTGATGCTTGAAGGAATGACACATTTCATCTTTTATACCGTAACCACAAAAGTGTATGTTGAGAATAAGAAGTAAAGCAGAAGCCACCATCCTAATTCAGTAATCCATTCAATGAAAGAAATATCGTCTTGCTCCCTTTCCTTCATTTCTTTCTTTATTTCTATCGTTCCTCTGCTTTTCTATCTCTTCTTCATTTCTTTCTTTCCTTCATTCTCTCTTTTCCTCACACTTTCTTTCTCTCACACTTTCTTTCTTTCTTTTTTTTTCTTTCTCTCACTCTCTTTTCCTCACACTTTCTTTCTCTCACACTTTCTTTCTTTCTTTTTTTTTTTCTTTCTCTCACTCTCTCTTCCTCACACTTTCTTTCTCTTTCTTTCTTTTTACCTGTTTTATCTTTCATTAGTGCTGGCTTAGAGCCACAGTAGCGTAGCAGCTAAATGTTTGCCTGCCAGCCTGAAGGTCAAGGGTTCAAATCTGCATCAGGGCAGATTTTTTCAGAATTGACCTTGACTCCTAGTCAGCTCAGCCTAAAATGGGAACCAGGTGATGCCCTGGGATGTAAAAGCTGCTGGTTAGATGCTGACCACAACTTCCATCAAGTGCCAGTTGCTCTCCAGAATGCAGAATGATGTTTTGCATTATATGCACGATGTGCTTCTGGCATGAAGAAATTACTTGTAATGTTAATAATATACTGCTGACCATTTTTATTACATAATGTAATGTTTGTTTCCTTTATTACCACATTTTAACAACTCTATTTACAGAATGCAAAGCTTCATATCCCTGTGGACCAGACAGTGTCCAGAACGTATGAGCAACAGATGATAGTTTACAGGTCATCAGACATGAAATGGGACACTAGGCAAAAGCACAATGGACGTGGGTATGTATGCCCATGTGGCTGAGAGACGCCAAGTAGAAGCAATTCTTAAATAGCGAACACTGTCATATCAGATCAGGTTTTTCAGTCTAAGTCTAGTATGCAAATTTTAACAATGTCCTTTAACCCTAATAGTGTAGTGACTAGATGCTTGCTTGCAGATCCTGAAAGTGTGTGTTCAAATTCAGACTGAGCCAGACTTAAAAAAAAAAAATGACTTGGCTCCCAGGTAAATTCCTGGATAATAAAGGTAGCTGGCCTGAAGTTGACCACATCGACCACTGAGTGGTCTATATTTAAAATTAGGTCTTCCCCGTGTGGGTTCCGGGGCCCTATTAGAGGGAAAACAAGAATAGACCCACTGCCTACCCAAAAGCATGTCGTAAGAGTCGACTAATTGGGAGCTTCCTTCGAAGTCGGAGTGCATCTGCCTGAGAGGCAAAGAACCAGCAGTCTGCACACAACAAATGAGTCAGATCTGTAAAGCGGATGCACACGCAACACTCAGGTTTTGGAACAGGACTGCAGTCCAGAAGTGGATGAACAACTAGAACTTTCCGCCAGAGTTTACAGCTGGTGACCGCGAAGAAGAAGAAGAATATTAGGTGTAGCACTATATGCCCAATATGCCCTAAGGGGTGGAAAGGGGTCCTTTACCTCACCCTGATTTTTACTCTACACCTAATTCTATAGCAGTCCTTACATAATATTTCAGTTCCATCTGTGTGTATATTTGTGTGCATATGAGAGAAAAAAAGGAAAGAAGGTAGGAAGGGATAGTATAAAAATAGTGGAATTTTTCATTCAAAGTGATTATTTAATTATTGATATTACCCTCCGTTGCTAATATTTTGCCACTTGTGTTTATTTTTGTGAGTGCAGCTAGAACAACTACCAACACAGTGGCGACACTTAAAAAGATCTGATATGAAAGCTAAAGGGCACCCAAGCAGAAGATGAATTGATGGCCTTATCTACATTTGTCATCTTTACATAATAATAATGCTAACTATTAAACGTTAGGTTGCAAACTGCACCTTCTCAGCACATGTAATGGATAAATTTATAACGGTAATGATATTTCAAAATAGAAATCAGTCCATATTTTATTGTTTCCTCGCAATACTTAATGACAAAAATGGAAATTCCTGAAGATAATGATGTTTATTTCAGTGTAGATATCGACCCATATTTGATTTTTTGCTCACAATACTAAATGACAAAAGTGGAAATTCGTTATGATAATAATGTTTACTTCAGTATAGATATCGACCCAAATTTGATTGTTTCAGTCTGAATGGTTATTTCACAATGTTTGAATGATGATTTTTTTCTGCATGGGCTATGGGGCTCCATTTTGGGGGGAAAAAGAATAGAACTACTGCCGCCTAAAAAGCATGTAAAAGTTAATTAGGTGTTTCCTGAAATCGGATGTGTTGGCCTAAAGGTGCTGATATCACAGACTAGCTGTGAACCACAACACAGCGTGCCAGCCACTCTTCTTGTAAGGGCAAATGCAGAAGAAGAAAACTAAGAAGAATGATGTTTTAACCTAAGTGTTAATTTTAGTTCAGACGTCAACCAGTGTTTGAATCATGTTTTAACTCAAGTGTTTCAGTACAGACATCAACCAGTGTTTGAATCATGTTTTAACTCAAGTGTTTCAGTACAGACCTCAACCAGTGTTTGAATCATGTTTTAACTCAAGTTTTTCAGTACAGACATCAACCAGTGTTTGAATCATGTTTTAACTCAAGTGTTTCAGTACAGACATCAACCAGTGTTTGAATCATGTTTTAACTCAAGTGTTTCAGTACAGACCTCAACCAGTGTTTGAATCATGTTTTAACTCAAGTGTTTCAGTACAGACATCAACCAGTGTTTGAATCATGTTTTAACTCAAGTGTTTCAGTACAGACATCAACCAGTGTTTGAATCATGTTTTAACTCAAGTGTTTCAGTACAGACCTCAACCAGTGTTTGAATCATGTTTTAACTCAAGTGTTTCAGTACAGACCTCAACCAGTGTTTGAATCATGTTTTAACTCAAGTGTTTCAGTACAGACCTCAACCAGTGTTTGAATCATGTTTTAACTCAAGTGTTTCAGTACAGACATCAACCAGTGTTTGAATCATGTTTTAACTCAAGTGTTTCAGTACAGACCTCAACCAGTGTTTGAATCATGTTTTAACTCAAGTGTTTCAGTACAGACATCAACCAGTGTTTGAATCATGTTTTAACTCAAGTGTTTCAGTACAGACCTCAACCAGTGTTTGAATCATGTTTTAACTCAAGTGTTTCAGTACAGATATCAACCAGTGTTTGAATCATGTTTTAACTCAAGTGTTTCAGTACAGAGCTCAACCAATGTTTGAATGATGTTTTAACCCAAGTGTTTCAGTACAGATGTCAACCAATGTATGAATGATGTTTTAACCCAAGTGTTTATTTCAGTACATACGTCAGCTAATGTTTGATTGATATTTTAACCCGAGTGTTTATTTCAGTACAGACGTTAACTAATGTTTGATTGATATTTCAACCCAAGTTTTTAATTCAGTACCGATGTCAACCAATGTTTGAATGATATTTCAGGCCAAGTTTTTGTGGGAACACTCACGTGAAACAGAAAAATAGCAAATTCGGCAACCAACATTTTGTAACAAAGAATACTAACACAGGTAAGCAGGAATGTAACATTAACATGGTTTAATAATATGAAATTGAGTCATGGTTGTGTAGTGGCTAGATGCTCCCTGCCGGCTGATATTCTTTGATTCAAATCGGCATCAAGGCAAATTTATTTTTTAAAACTGATTGGGCTCCCAGGTTGACTAAACCAAAAACACAGCGCACTAATAATGAGAACTGTCAAATAAAATGTATGCTCAGTCCTGCTGTGTGGTGCAGAAACGTGGACAATGAACAGGCAACTAAACAATTGAATTGAGTGTCTAGAAATGAAGGTATACAGAAGAATAAGTCGTATTTAATGGAAACAAAAAAAGTCCATTACAGAGGTTCTGGAAAGGCTACAAATGAAAAGAGAATTACTTTAAGAAATTGAGAAAAAAAAAAAAAAAAAAAAAAAACAGTTGACATACTTTGGCCACATTAAAAGATATAACACATTTTTAAAAACTTTGCTAGAGGGAAAGGGCGAAGGAAAAAAAGCAAGAGGTGGGCAATGATACAAGTGGGTGGACAACATCAAGAGATGGTCGGGCAGCAGTCTGAGAGAGTGTACCACCAGGACAAGGGACAGAGCGTGTTGGGGATCCATTGGAGCCAACCTTTACTGTAGAGATGGCACCTGGTTGATGATATACAACACATTGAGGAGAGCACACAGAAGATCCTTGCATCTTCACCAACACTCGCTTGAGTTAACTGGAGGAGAAGAACAACAACAAAATAGATCAGTCTGGATGAAAAAACAGGTCAAGCCATTTGCCTCACGTTCTCAAGGTCATAGAAAGATCATCAATATCACGTTTATTTGTCAAACAAGTCCTAGTCATTTGAATCAAGCGTTTCACATTTTCAGGAATTCCCATGGATTGTCATTTGAGATATAGAGCTTGTTCTTGTGCTATGTTTTTGGCATTGAGCGCAGCTGCAGGGAGAGAGAGAGGAGATAGACAGATGGAATAAAACCAGGTGCTTAATGTTTATCCCCTTGATTTCAAACACACTTTAGGTAATTAGATAATCGCAATTCCAGCTTCATAGCAAACAGGTAACCCCAGCCTTGCTCCATTCTTGTGCCAAGGAAGACCTCACAGAATGCCTATCACTATTCCTAGTAAACAAAATTATACACAGACTGTGGTCTCAGCTATGCTAATAGCATACGCATTAATTAAATGCATAAGGGAGCAGTTGGAAGTGCCAGCGCAAACAGTCTGACACAAAATGCAGTTCATCATTGATGGATCAGCGGTTACAACATATAATTTGCTGCACATGCAATTAATTGCATACAGCACCACTTTAAAAACCTTTAAGGAGCAGCTCACTGAGTGGTTAAGAACACCAAGCTTTCATTCAGGAGACCCAGGTTCGAATCCTTGGTAAGGTTATGGGTTTTTCTGTTGGGAGCAAAAATAAAATCCTAACCTGCACAGTCTATAGCGACTTCACTGGCCATGCGGCCCTAAATCCTCAGGCTGAAGTCTCTCTGTCAATCACTGAATGTGCAGTTTCTTTAAAAATCTTTTTCTTGATTTTCAGACAAGTTTTTGAGACACAGGAAGTGCTGGACAACTAATGCGATTTTTTTTTTTTCATGTCAAGGAACAAACAAACCTTTATTATTTTTTTATGTTTGTAGGTAGGCATAAACGGCACAAACGAGAAGGAAGCACACCTTTGTGGAACACCTGCCAGATAATCACAGTTGCCGATTACAAATTCTTCCGGGGTATTGGAGACAGTGATGTCTACAAAACTGCTTTACACATGGTAATGACTAAACTTTAAAACTTTTATTGGATGCATTGGTTTGGCTCAGGGATTCTTTTTTTAGTTTGAAACAATAAATTAGACCTCTTCTTGTTCAGATATATCTAAATGGATTGATTGCAGATCAGTCTAAAATGAATTACCAGATTAGTTTATTAGATTCAGTTAATCATCTTATTACTACATAAACCAGTCAATCTTAGATCTTATCTTCTTGTTCGAGTCAGATAATTGATTGAATTAATTGCTCAAAATCACTTAATCATCTAAACACTGTGGAGTTATCATGCTGAGCTGTTATATTCTTGTTCAGATAAAGCTAAAATGATTGATTACAGATCAGACTAGAATAATTGATTGCATTCATTTATTTAATTCAATAAAGCATCACCCTGGATCTGTCAGTTTGAGGTCTTATTTTCTTGAGATCAAAATAGAATAATTTACTGAAATGATTGATTAGATTCAAAAAATGATCACACCTTGGATCTATCAATTTGAGCTTTCATTGTCTTGGTTGTGTATAACCAGGAGGAACCTAGCTTAGTGTATGAATTCAGGGTCACCCTTTAGGCTCTCCAATAATTTATGGTGATTATGGCACTTTAAATGTTAACAAACATCCGAGGAAGCCAGTAATAGAATTGTTTCTCTAGGCTGGCTGGAACATTTGACCACCGATCAGACAGGCAAGCTGTGATACTGCAACACGCAACTCACCAAAAATGTAACTTTTTATTATATTTTGTTTTGTTGGGATGACTCATTCAGAGTTTATCAGTAATGGAATAACAATTTAATTCTTTGGCAAATGTAAATTCTGTTGGGTTAACTCCAATATCTTATCACTAACCTATCATGCTAAAAAAGAATTGTTACATCATATTAATTAAAACATGCATTACTTTGAAATGAAATTATTAACAAAAATCCTAAGTTATTTAAAAAAAAATATTTTTCTTTCTGTCAGTGTAAACAATGCTGAATTGAAAACAGTACCCAAACCGATAAATATGCCTTCATGGGACAGGCCAATGCAATGAAACCAAATTAGTATATTCTTGAGATTTCTAATGAGCGGCGATGCTGTTTCAGTTTCTCAGAATGAAAGGGTTAAAAAAAAAACTTTGTAATTTTGTTGTTGTCGCTTTCTTATAGGCTAACGTGATGGACCATGTTGATTTCCTATAGGCTAACGTGATGGACCATGTTGATTTCCTATAAGCTAACGTGATGGACCATGTTGATTTCCTATAGGCTAACGTGATGGACCATGTTGATTTCTTATAGGCTAACGTGATGGACCATGTTGATTTCCTATAAGCTAACGCGATGGACCATGTTGATTTCCTATAGGCTAACGCGATGGACCATGTTGATTTCTTACAGGCTAACGTGATGGACCATGTTGATTTCCTATAAGCTAACGTGATGGACCATGTTGATTTCCTATAAGCTAACGCGATGGACCATGTTGATTTCCTATAGGCTAACGCGATGGACCATGTTGATTTCTTATAGGCTAACGTGATGGACCATGTTGATAAGATCTACCGAAGTACAGAATTTCACCCTGGGTCTCCAGTGCGAGGATTGGGATTTGAGATTGCAGAGGTGAGTTCCATGTTCATGGTGCTTTGAACCATGTGTAAATCATCTTTGTCAGGCAATATATTCAATTACCATCTGTAAAAATACAACACTAGATTGAAGGCAGGTGTGCAAGAGGTAGATAGCGAGGTAAGTGGGAGGATAACATCAGAAGTTGGATTAACGGCAGTCTGAGAGATTGCATAGCTAGTGCATGAGAAAGAGAGGTTGTTTTTGTTCAGAAATACTATCATGCATTATCTGGGAAAACAACACTGCAGGTGAGCAAGAGGTAGACAACAAGACAAGTGGGAGGATGATATCAAAAGTTGGATCAAAAGCAGTCCTTAAGAGTCCATCTGTAAAGGTGGTGAATTTATGTAAGGACCTTTTGGGAGCAAGTGAACAGCGTGAAGGCATAGATAGATCATTACGGTCTGAGTAAAATGGTGTTGCCAGGAATTACCAGGGGATCTGGCCAATGCTCAGCACTCAAGGGAAAGGCGAGACAGATATACAGTCAGACATTTACTAGTGCCATGGGAATTGGAACTCTTCGCTTGCTGCTGAAGATGGGAACAGAGTGCTTATGGGAGTGTCCCAAGTGCTACGATGTCGATTCTTAATTCAACTTTCAAAGAGTATAACCAGAATGAGAGAAATAGGGTATTGGAGATCTGTGGTATGTAACTTTTATTGTGGAGATGGCACCTGATTGATTGCTTGATTGACCAAAGACCATTCGTGTCAGCAGTAGTAGGGGCCTCTGTTTAGTCTGTATGACTACGGAGTTGTGCTGCTGGACAGGCACCTGATTGATTGCTTGATTCGCTGTCAAATAGCCAAAGACCAATCGTGTCAGCAGTAGTAGCGGCCTCTGTTTAGTCTGTATGACTACAGAGTTGTGCCGCTGGACAGGCACCTGATTGATTGCTTGATTTGCTGTCAAATAGCCAAAGACCAATCGTGTCAGCAGTAGTAGCGGCCTCTGTTTAGTCTGTATGACTACGGAGTTGTGCTGCTGGACAGGCACCTGATTGATTGCTTGATTTGCTGTCAAATAGCCAAAGACCAATCGTGTCAGCAGTAGTAGCGGCCTCTGTTTAGTCTGTATGACTACGGAGTTGTGCCGCTGGACAGGCACCTGATTGATTGCTTGATTTGCTGTCAAATAGCCAAAGACCAATCGTGTCAGCAGTAGTAGCGGCCTCTGTTGAGTCCTGCAGAACTAGGGAGTTGTGCAGCTGGGCAGGCACCTGACAGCACCACTGGTGACTAACAGACTGATGCCAGACTTGACAATCTCTGTCAGATGAGGTAGATCCCACAGCAGGTGAACACATTGTATACTTGTGCCTCTTGTCCTCACTTAGTTGGATCAGACTGTGTTCATCCTTACCTGCATAGGACTGAATGTTACACCTGGCTGGGTTAGCTGTTAGAGTGCCCTAACTATAACCTCCTTGTAGGTTGAACAGGGTATCTGGGATCTGTCTTGTTGGTCTGCCATCCAGTTAGAGATTTTGTTAATTCTCAGGATGGTGTGGTAAATCTTTAGGTAACAACCCAGAGGGGACAAACTGATGAATTTGTTCTCAGAGAGCGCCACTCCATTTCACACATCTTGTCTTCAAACAGTATCTGTCTGCTGAAACTCTCGTTTCTGCATCTAGACTTGGGGTTTTCTTATCCTGTTTACAGACATCCTTGTATTGCATTTGAGGTCTTCCAATTGGCCTCTTCCCTGTAGCTAGTTCTTTCATAAAGGAGATCTTAATCTTATGCCAGAAGTCATATGACAAAAAAAAGCTGATGTTCAATGCTATCTGTCAGTTACAATGAAACAGTTAAATACAAAAACCAACATCGCACATAATTGTTATAACCTACATTATTCACACAGTCCAGACTATAAAGTAAACCATTACAGCATAAACCAGAGGCAGAAATTGTAAAATCCATGCCAATCCCACCAGTAAGCTTCATAGTTTTTAGCAGTTTAAATGTCAGGGATTCTCGTTTGGTAACATTTATTATGTTTTCCAGATGGATATTTATGAAGCTTCTACCTCAGGGTTTAACAATGAATCCCAAGCATGGGATCCTCTCAGTTTGTTGCAGGTGAGACGACCATGTTGTTGTTGCTGTTCTTCTTCTTGCTGCTGCTATTGCTCTCTAACCTCCTACTCTATGCCATTGGATTAGGTGTAGAAATTTGTCTCCATACCCTGTAGCAGAGGACCATCTCCGCAGGGACCATGCTGCAGATCTCTGATTCCCCTATCCAAGCTCAGAAACCATGAATACACAAGGTAAGGGAATCAGACCAAAGGTCTTCCTCGGGCTGTGAGGGAACAACTTTGAAGGATCTGCTGCTTGGTGCAGTGTTGTTCCGAAATAACTCTGAAATTCAATAGTAAAATCAAATAGATTTCCATGGTCGTCATTGATTCAAGAGGATTGACTTTATTGCCTGGGTTTTATCCCATATTGCTCAGTCTGCAGAGTGGCTAGCCAACTGATGAGAGTATCACACAAAGTGCAAACTCTGTATCTCCAGTGACAATCCCCAAGAATCAGATTAAAAATGGCACTCGTGAACCAAATGATGCAGTCAGTGAAATGAACCTTTGACCTTCAGAGCATGAAGCTACTGGCTTGACCACTTCACCACAGAGACCCCTAGGTTTCCATAGCAACATAACAGGTCACCTGCAGAAACCATTGTAGATTCTCACATCATGCAAAACCTATAGTCCAGATTTTTCAGTGAATGTGAGTCACATCTTAAGCATGGTCTTAGGTTTTATTCAGAGTATTGTACATCGATCCAGCCTACAGTAGGTACCAGGACATTTTATGGGAAGTAAAGGCTGCTGTTAAGATATTAAAAAACAATACCCATTGATTTCTAAAAAAAAAAAATGGGGCTAGTATTTTTTGCCCAGTATTCTTAGGTTCTGGGGGCCCCATTGTGGCCGGGGGTGGGGATAGACCCACTGGTCCCCCTCCCAGCAAGTATGTCATAAAAGTAGTCTAATGAGCTATTTCCTTCTAAGTTGGAGTGCATCTGCCTGAAAGGTGAGGAACCAACAGTCTGCATGCAAATAAGCCAGATCTGTAAAACAGATGTGCGCACAAAACTCAGGTTCTAGAACAAAGACTAAAGTCCAGAATCGGACGAACAAACAGAATTTTCTTCTCGAGTTCACAGCTAGTGAATGCGAACAAGAATAAGAAAAAGATTCGCCCAGTACATTGAGAGGCATGTGAATGTCAGACTTTGTAGGCAGACTGTCAAATTTTGTTTGTGTTGTTGCTGTATAGTGTCATGTTTTATGGCATGCCGACGTTTCAAACTGGTTGTGGTGGTGCACTAGGACCAGGGCTCATACTCTTGAAGACTCAGGTGCACCTCTCTGCAGTCATTTTAGAAACAGGAACCTGGTCAGCATAGATAGGATTGGTGTTTACTTCCAGGTCAGAGTGCATCTGCCTAAGAGGTAAGCAACCAACCAACCATCTGCATTCAGATAAGCCAAATCTGTAAAATGAATGTGCACACAACACTTCAAGCCCTGGAACAAGACCAAGTCCTGAAGTTTACAGTCAGTGAATGAGACAAAGATATCTTTTATCATTATGATGATTATTATTATTATATTTACAGTGTCACCTATTTCATATAACTTACATCTTAATAACCAAATTTCAGGCATTTAGTCGTAATCTTGATTATAAGGATTTCTGTGCTGCCCACCTGTTCACACATCAGGCATTTGAAGGCAATGTCCTTGGCCTAGCGTACATCGCTCCACCACGAGAAGGTGGAGTAGGAGGGATTTGTTCACCAGGTCAGAATTATTTGTTTTGTTCTTTTTCTTTTATTGTTGGAAAAAGTGGACTGTAATGAAGCTATGAAACTAACATAACACAAAGTACTTAATTTAGTTGCTACCACCATCGCTGTTACTGCTGCTGCATATCCTACTGCTTCACTCTGTCATCTCCCAAAGGAATGAGCATTGACACTTTTCTGTCTTTCCAGACGAAAGTGTTATATTGTGCTGCCGAAAGACAATGGCAGTCACAGTCCCTGGCGATAGTTACTGTGACTACCAAGACCTGACTGCGTTAAGAGAAGTCTTTCCCACTTTGAGCATGGAATTTTAGGACCATTGTTACCGTCACATGTATTTAGTGTATGTCTTCTCAGACGCTTGGGTTTCAATCTATCTATCTGCACTGATTTGTAGCCTTTATTCCTATTCCCTTCCTGAATCCCCACCTCTAGCCAACAGCATTTTATTTCCAGGAATCTACCTCAATACATGTATCATCCATGTCCTGCTTGTGCACATCTCTATATCATAGTAGCGGCCGGCCTTGACATCTTCTACCTATCTGTAATTCAACATAGAAGATTTCCTTATGGACTACCATCCTCCATTCTCCAGGTGTGACCCCGCCACCTGAGGCTTCAGAGATTGAGAAAACTGTTGTAATACCTGTTCTTTCCACTATCTCAGTGTTTTTGATCTTGTCTCACCACTTAATGGCAGGTATTCTTCTTAGGAATCACATGTGAAAGCTGTTTAGCCATTTCTCCTGGTGCGAATAAGTTGACAGTTTTGCTGCCATAAAGACGAGCGCTGAGTGAGAACACAAGCCTGATAGACAAGAGGTTTTCTTTTAATCATGAGCTTTCTGTTCTCCCAAACTCTTTTCGTTAATTGACTCATTGTTTTTGCTGCCTTACCTATCCTGATGTGGATTTCTTGGTCCAGTGATAATTTGTTATTCACTGTTGATCCCAGATATTTAAAATGGTTAGCCGTCTCCAGCTCTTCCCATAAGTATTGACTGCAGGTCTGTCATTAACACCTTGCAACATAATCTTTGTCTTTATTTTGCTTATTCTTAGCCCAAATTCACAGATTGGCTGAGAAAATACATAGTAAACATTGCAGCTTCTCCTCTGAGTGTGTGGTTATTGCTGCATCATCTGCAAACAGCATCTCTCTGATAAGTTTCTTCCTTATCTTGGTTTTGGCTTTTAGTCTACGGGGTAGAGGTTGCCGTCAGCTTAAGAATGGATGGATATAACACCCTCCTGATCTTGAAAGGCATATTTTAAAGAAGTGAGGAGTATATTCCAAAGAGGGTAAGAGTAAGTACACATCTCTGTTCCCTGCTTTACTCAATTGTAGATTACAAACTCCTCCAGTGTTACACCATCAGAGCTGATTATATCTTTCACACCTGTGTGGAATGACTCAATAATGCTCAATAGGGCAGGTGGACACCCAGTCTCCCTGAGCACGTTGAACAGACCTTTATGAGTAACCAAATCGAATACCTTCGTAAGATTCCTCCTCTCCATTAACTCCATGTGTTGCCCATGCATCATAATCCCTCACTCAACCTACCTTGTTTACTCCAAAAGAAAGGTAACACCAATACATTTAGAACAAAGTACACTGCGGAAGCTTTCAGGTCAGAAAAAGTGCTCTGTCTCTCCACCTGTCTGGGCTTCCCTCCTAGACCAGCTGCCAGCCAAGGCTAAGAGCCTGATATGCCCTGCCATAACATGACATTTTCAGGTTGCATTTCCTCTTCCTAGGATAAGTCTAGTATCCTCCCCCCATATGCTCATGTGCCCAAAACCGCTGTCACGTTGTGGGATGTCAGGTTTGGTATTCTCTGCCCAACATTCAGCATTACCAAAGGAATAAGACTCTTAGTAACTGACCCCAAACCCTGCATGATCTTGTTTATGATTCTGTTAATTGTATAGCTATTTTTGTACAGGTTGAAAGAGCAAGCCTTACATCAACCATCATTTACTTGCCTGTTACTTGGACAATGTGTAGTGTATTAAGAACTAAATTGTTGTCATGTGTCTGACGTCCCCAGTTGCTCGTATCGAAAATGCATTGTGCAGTTTGAATACAGGCTGGAGCAGCTCGCAGAACCAGAATGGTGAACCTGTCCTCCAACAGCAGTCAGACTTGGTTACAGCACACGGTAGGACATTACCTAATACCTATTTTGGGTTGGGTTGGGTTGACCTGGGAGCCAACGTCAGTCTTGAAAACAAAAGTCCGAAAAAATGCAGAATCAAACCAAAGACATTCAGGCTTGCCTGTATTACAGTGTGTGATGAGAGGTTATTGTTTTTATGAATTTGGTCCCAGTATAACAATCCGTTTAGATCATGGAAGCGAAGTGGCTGTCGTCCTTTCACACTGGCCAGGTGGTTGCATGTTTGAATTCACACTTTGGCAGGTTGTTGCGTCAAATTGTGCCAAAAGCTTGGCGATACCTGAGTGAAAGTGATTCAATAAACCATTAATGACAGTGCCGTGCATTTAATTACACAAGCTAACAAGGGAACATTTGCTTGTAAGATAGCCACACATCTGTGGAGAGTGGGCCACATTCTGATAGGGCCCCTTCTGTTTCTTCTTCTTAAAGTCCATGTTGTGTGGCGTTGGTAGTCATGTCTATCCACAACCTTCTGTCTCCTGTCTCAAAGTCCATGCCATGTGGTGTTGGTAGTCATGTCTATCCACAACCTTCTGTCTCCTGTCTCAAAGTCCATGCCATGTGGTGTTGGTAGTCATGTCTATCCACAACCTTCTGTCTCCTGTCTCAAAGTCCATGCCATGTGGTGTTGGTAGTCATGTCTATCCACAACCTTCTGTCTCCTGTCTCAAAGTCCATGCCATGTGGTGTTGGTAGTCATGTCTATCCACAACCTTCTGTCTCCTGTCTCAAAGTCCATGCCATGTCGTGTTGGTAGTCATGTCTATCCACAACCTTCTGTCTCCTGTCTCAAAGTCCATGCCATGTGGTGTTGGTAGTCATGTCTATCCACAACCTTCTGTCTCTTGTCTCAAAGTCCATGTTGTGTGGCGTTGGTAGTCATGTCTATCCACAACCTTCTGTCTCCTGTCTCAAAGTCGATGCCGTGTGGCGTTGGTAGTCATGTCTATCCACAACCTTTTGTCTCCTGTCTCAAAGTCTATGCCGCGTGGCGTTGGTAGCCATGTTTATCCACAACCTTCTGTCTCCTGTCTCAAAGTCCATGCCATGTGGCGTTGGTAGTCATGTCTATCCACAACCTTCTGTCTCTTGTACTTTCATCAACTCTGACACATATCCATAATGTCAAACTGTCCAGTATCTTTTCTTTTGGTCTTCCTCTGCCTCTCCCCAGTAAACTGAAATGATGACATTTATCATTTGTGGACTTAGGTTGAGCGAAACAATAATAATAAACTGTAATAATCGTATTTAAGGGAAAATGAAGTGTTTAGTGAGGTTTATCACTTTGGACATATTCTTAGGTGCTCTGGTATCCTCCTTAATAGCCCCACAGGAGTAAAATGACTGATGTTGCCTGTTAAGAATAAACAAGAATTAAAAGTAATAAATTGAATAAAGAAATAAACTTGCAGACTTTTGTTAGTATTTTTTATTTACTGTTGTTCTTGTATTCTTTTCTTTGAAATTTGTTAAACAATTTGTTTGTCTTAAGATTCTTATTCCATCTAGGCTGTTAAATTCTGCATAAGCATCATTTATATGCCCCTGCATTCTTTGAAATCTTAATCTTTGAATTGACTCCACATATTACCTGATGTCCAACCTGACACCAAATGCTGAATTTGATCAGAACTTGGTAAGTTTTTGTTTATTGTTTTGTCGTCAAATCCTGTAACATCCTGTATGGGTTCTGGGGCTGAGTTTTTTTCGTTTAAATTTTTTCTTTTAAAATTTGTAATAAAGAATGCGATTCATGTCAGTGGCTCATCAGGAACATGGGTCTAGAGTCTTATTTTTATAGGCCATTTGGCACTTATGAGCTTACCTGGTACCTGTGTGAGGCTTGGTTGACCTTGGAGCTCAGCTTAGTCTGGAAAAATCTGCCACAGTTAGGTTTCAGGTTCAAACTCATCTATACAAATACAGATCTAGCTTCATAAGTTGGATGTTCCACTGATGTGAAAAATTAGTGTCCTTAATTTTTACTTTCACTTATGTAAGGAGCCAAAGGTGCTGGACTTGATTCCATCCATGTCATTAAAAGGATTGAACAGGATAGAATGGAATGGAGGACTAATCTATGAGCCCTTTTATAACATGCTTGGGAGCCACTGATGTGTAGCGGCGAGACGCTCGCCTGTGGATCCGAAGGCCATAGGTTCAGCTCATGCAATTAAAAAAAAGAGGACCTTGGCTCCCAAGTTGACCTAGCCTTAAATGGGAACTGGGTAAAGTTCTGGGGAGTAAAGGCAGCTTACCTGATGCTGTCCACATCACCCACAGAGCCCCAGTTGGTCTATAAAGTAGAGGTTTAGCCCTATATGCCCCCTATGCATCTATGGTCCTAACCTCAAAGTTTTAGACTAGTCAACACCTTAAGCTGTCGCGCTCGTTGTGTGATGGGGTCAGAATCAAGCTGGCTGACTTAATTTCTCAGAGCAGTTTTTGGAACTTGTTTAAGCTATTGCGATGTAGGGTCCCGGGCCAGTGGGCAACATTGTCATCCTCAGATTTTAGGGAAGCATCGTTATGATGCACACATTGTAAAGAGACGTTATTTATTGGCTTGCATGTTACTGCAGGTAAACTGACATGGGATACATTGGGCAGAAAAGCAGCAGACAAGCGGCAAGGGAGATCACTTGTGAATGCCTTATATGTCAACAGCGTCATGAAGAGGATATAGATAGATAGATGTTACTGCAGGGAGACATCATGTCGTCCCATTTTATTGTAGGAACAATTTGTGTTGCTGTTTATTTGATTAATGCCTGATTATTTAACTGTTTTCCGTGTCAGGTCACAACTGGGGAGCTGAACATGATACAGACTCAGGCGAGTGCTCGCCATCTTTTGGCAAAGGAAAGTTTTTAATGTATCCATACTCTGTCAGCGGATATGACTCAAACAATTATGTAAGTCAGTTAATGGTAGCTTGTTCATACACAACTAGCAACGTAATATTCTGGACTGTTCTTTCCCCCCATAGATGCTCAGTCTCCCCCTCACCCCCATCAGATGTCATGTGTTGTATGTGCTGATTATTCCAGTAACAAACAGAATCATTCCTGTATACATTTCTCTTTAGTGGGAATCACACACAAATCTGCATTGAGTATTCTGTATGTCCCCCCCAACCAACCCTTTTGTCAGTAATATAAACCAGTGCCGCTGAGCATGTTAACATTGGAAGGTAATATAAGTTGTGTGTCTTCTTTGGTAGTTGTCAGAATAATTTCTTGGCATTTTTTGTGGGCAAGGAATATTAGACCTTGATGTGTGCTGAATCCAGTTACTTGACCTTTGTGTGAGCGGAACTTAGCAGCCTCGCCATGATGATGCACCAGGCGATTCTTCTCAACTGAATCAATTTTCATAGACAGATACAACATTTCTCTGGTTCGTTAGGCTCCATACTCTCCTGACATGGCTCCTTGCTGTTATTGGCTGTTCAACCTGACCTATATTCCCACTGCATGGGATGTAGTTTGTGTAATGTGAAGTCATTATGGCGTGTATTTATAAATATTTAAATATGTATATATTACATTTTTTAAAATGTCATAATAATTAAAAATAATTTAACACCAGCATAAAATGAGAATCAGAAAATGTTCAGCAAAGTAAAGGGGACTGTCTTAGTAATGAAAACATCTTGCAAAATATGTTGATTTGTCTATCTTCTTTTTTCTTCTTAGCATTTGCCGGCTGTAAACTCCTACGTAAAATTCTGGTTGTTTGTCTATTTCTGGACTTTTTTTTACGTGTTCCAGAACTGGAATTTTGCATGCATATCTGTCTTTCAGATTTGGTGACTCACTTGTGTGCAGACTGTTGGTTTCTCACCTCTCAAAAGATGCGCTCCAACTTCAGAGGAAACATCCCGAATCAGTCGCTTTTCATTACATCCTTGTTAGTTGGGCAGTGGGTCTATTCTTTTTCTCCCGAAAAGGGGCCCAAGAACCCACATGGGGAGATTGGTCTGTAACAAATAACCGTATGCCTCAAGGCATGGAAACGGGTTCTCAAGTTATTTCATTTACTGACCTGTAACATTTAGACTAGTCCTTGTGAGATCATTTAAATCACAGGCAGGAAGGAAAGTTAAGACTGTTATGCTGTGTATTAGTGGATACCCCATGCCCCACCTCGGGCACCAGCAGGCTGTGTGGTGGTTTTACGGAACTTTATGCGAGACTTCTTCCACATGTTTTTGCCGTTCACCACAGAAAAGGGCCAGCATTGGCTTGCATCTGGCTGGCAGGGAGGGGATCTCAGAGTTGTTGCCCCTAGAGGTGTAGTGTCTTGAATCAACAGACATGTTGCACCCAAAAGTCCACCCCCAATACATGTACTACTACATCAGTTTAAAGACTCATTAGGAAAATTAACTCACTGATGGCTTAAGTTTGATTCAGATGTCTGTTGATTGAGACTCCATGGGGTCCGAATGTTCAAATGTCCATTAAGCAAAGATGCCATTAAATGACAAATAAGGTTCAAATGTCCAATGAGTGAAGAGCCCACTTAATGACAAATAAGGTTCAAATGTCTATTAAGTGAAGATGCCACTAATTGACAAATAAGGTTCAAATGTCCATCAAGTGAAAATGCCACTAAATGAGAATAGGTTAACCTGTCTACTACTACAGGTCATACTCATCAGAGTGTAATGGCCAAGAAAGAAAGCTATACATGACACGTGCTTCCCTAAAGGGTAACAACAATCCTCTGTGTCCTGATACTACCGTGCTGTCCTGATACTACCGTGCTGAGTGTTCCGAATCACCCATATGAACTAGGCCCTTGTCTTGGGGAAGTCTGTTGTCTTCAGGAAGCAAAACACCACAGTTGTGGAGATCATAAGCATCTGTGGTCTGCAGACTGCTACCTTCAGACTTGGGGGGTGCAGCCCGTGATGTGTGGAAAATTCAGTTACAAAATGAAGGTTAAGCAATGTACAAGACACGATGATTCATTGAGTGAGCCTGGTAACAGAGCACCATATGTTGGCTTTGCCTTCATGGAAGCCTCTTAAGATGGCAGAAAATGTCCATGTTCTGGGCCTGCCTGTCCTTAAGGGCTGACCAGGATACACACAGTTGACCTTGATGGATCCACCGAGGGGCAAAACTGGTGAAGTTTTGTAAAGACAAGAACACAACAGTGAAGATTTGTCCAATGAAACTACTACTTAGTCGCTCCTCTTCTACCTTGGGGTGTAGAGGTTTGCCAGAGAGATCGACAGACGTCTCTATCAGCAGTTTTCTTTCTGGCTTTGTTCCATTCCAGTCCTCTGTCAGTTAGGGACTGTCGGATGTTGTCTTCCCAGCGCACCCTGGGTAGTCCCGGAGGTCTGGTTCCCTGGTTCTTAGCCTCCCATGCTTGTTTGTAAGGACTGGGTATCAAGATCTTGACGTATTGTCTGATTGCGGACTTTGTCCCTTCTTGTCACTTGGACCACCTTTCTCAGATATCTCATTTCCGAGGCCTGCAGCTGGCTTCTGTGAGCTGTTGTCATTGCCCATGACTCACACCCATAGGTCAGGACTGGTACATAGGTAGAGCGGTAAACAGCCATTTTCGTCCTCTTGCCAATTTCTCTTTTGCTAAGAAACCTTCGGTTTATGGCCTGGAAGAGTCCCCCAGCAGCTGCTTTTCGTGTAGCCAGCTCAGTCTTAATGCCTCCATTTTGGTCAAATACAACTCCAAGGTATTTGAACTGGTTAACCTGCCAATGAAACTAAATGGGAACTAACCTGGAGAACTAACCAAGGGAACTAACCTGGAGAACTAACCAGGGGAACTAACCTGGAGGACTAACCTAGAAAACTAACCAGGGGAACTAACTAGGGAAACTAACTTGGAGGACTAACCTGGAGAACTAACCTGGAGAACTAGCCAGGGAAACTAACCTGGAGAACTAACCTGGAGAACTAACCTGGAGAACTGATCCATACAAATGTCTGTTAAAGTTGTGTGTGTCAGTGAATTTACTCAAATATCACAGTTATGCTGTAAACAGGCACAACACAATTATGTCACTTGGGTGAAAGATGTTGAGCGAGTGAACAAACAAATTTTATTTTCAAAGGATCACAAATTGGGAACGCAGGCCCGTCTAACATTCAACCCTTTCAAGCACTAATCTTTGACATAGCAGTTGCATTTTATCAATAAAACATGTTATGTTCATATATTAATATGCGTATTATACATATTATAAAAACAAGCATTGATGATAAAATGCATGTATACACGCGCACGCACACATGCACGCACGTACACACACACACCGGTCAACCCGCTCACTCGTTTAAATACACACACACAGACACTCACACATATGCAAACACTCATACATACACATGCATACGTATACACACATACATTCTGACACAAACACTCATTCATGCACAGACACCTAAACAAACACAAACAACCATACATACACATAAACACATGATTGCCCATACATAGACATACATATACATATGGTGTATATATCCATTCATGCACAAACACCCATATGTACACAGATTTATACATACATGAACACTCATACACACACTTATACATACAAAAAATCATTCATGTACAAACACGCCTACACATACTTACATATCACACATGCATGCATACATACATAAGAAGAAGGGGAGGAGGAAGAAGACGAAGAAGACAAATTTATCTATACAATATGTAATAACATTTCAGAATGCATAAGCAATGATGACTATATGTTGTGTACACATGTTTGTAGACACACATGCATACAAATACATAGACATAGTTAAATTGGGGCAGTAATGATCTTTTTTTTTCACGTTTGGACATTCTGTTGCAGTTATTTTCTCCCTGTAGTAAAGATCTCATCAGTAGCGTCCTTGCTTTGAAGGGCAGCTCATGTTTAGAACGTAAGTACTTTGGCTCACTGGTATACATTATTTGTTACTGTGGTTAGCTTACTGGTATACATTATTTGTTACTGTGGTTAGCTTACTGGTACACATTGTTTGTTACTGTGGTTAGCTTACTGGTACACATTGTTTGTTACTGTGGTTAGCTCACTGGTGTACATTATTTGTTACTGTGGTTAGCTTACTGGTACACATTGTTTGTTACTGTGGTTAGCTTACTGGTACACATTGTTTGTTACTGTGGTTAGCTCACTGGTGTACATTATTTGTTACTGTGGTAAGCTCACTGGTATACATTATTTGTTACTGTGGTTAGCTTACTGGCAGACATTTGTTACTGTGGAAACTGGTGTACATTATTTGTTACTGTGGAAACTGGTGTACATTATTTGTTACTGTGGAAACTGGTGTACATTATTTGTTACTGTTGCTAGCTCACTGGTGTACATTATTTGTTACTGTGGCTAGCTCACTGATGTACATTATTTGTTACTGTGGTTAGCTCACTGATGTACATTATTTGTTACTGTAGTTAGCTCACTGATGTACATTATTTGTTACTGTGGTTAGCTCACTGATGTATATTATTTGATACTGTGGTTAGCTCACTGATGTACATTATTTGTTACTGTGGTTAGCTCATTGGTGTACATTATTTGTTACTGTGGTTAGCTCACTGATGTATATTATTTGATACTGTGGTTAGCTCACTGATGTATATTATTTGATACTGTGGTTAGCTCACTGATGTACATTATTTGTTACTGTGGTTAGCTCACTGGTGTACATTATTTGTTACTGTGGTTAGCTCACAGATGTACATTATTTGTTACTGTAGTTAGCTCAGTGGTGTACATTATTTGTTACTGTGGTTAGCTCACTGGTGTACATTATTTGTTACTGTGGTTAGCTCACTGGTGTACATTATTTGTTACTGTGGCTAGCTCACTGGTGTACATTATTTGTTACCGTGGTTAGCTCACTGGTGTACATTATTTGTTACTGTGGCTAGCTTACTGGTGTACATTATTTGTTACTGTGGCTAGCTCACTGGTGTACATTATTTGTTACTGTGGTTATCTCACTGGTGTACATTATTTGTTACTGTGGTTAGCTCACTGGTGTACATTATTTGTTACTGTGGCTAGCTCACTGGTGTACATTATTTGTTACTGTGGCTAGCTCACTGGTGTACATTATTTGTTACTGTGGCTAGCTCACTGGTGTACATTATTTGTTACTGTGGTTAGCTCAGTGGTGTACATTATTTGTTACTGTGGCTAGCTCAGTGGTGTACATTATTTGTTACTGTGGTTAGCTCTACATTTATATCAGTTTGTCTTTTATCGGTTTATGGCAGTTATTACATACATCTGTTTTATTAACTTCTTCTTTTACATCAACATCATCATGTAGCAGATCCTTTGCAGAACAACGCTAACACCACTGTCTGCCTGAAAGAACCTCAGTCTACTGCCTCCAGAACTTTCCTACCCACGGTGCCACTGATATCCTGTGCCCATATTCGTGCTGGTTGACCCCGGTTCTGCTTTCCCGATACCATGCCTTCTGCTATTATTCTGTCTAATCTGCCTTGGGGCTTGATGCGGCTAAAGTATTTCAGTTTCTATGTTCACCTTCAGTAGGCATGTTGTGGTTTACAGCTAGGCTGCTGTGTCTGCTCATTTCAACCCGGCACATCTGATTTCAGCAAACCTTTTATCAGTCGTCTTTTACAACATGCTAGGTAAGGATTAGTATATCTATTCATTTCCCCCTCAAAAAAAGGAGCCTGAAATCAACACACAGTTAAGTACAATCTAAAATTTATCAATATATTTTGACACCCTATTTTCTTTCCTGCTTCAACTAGAAAAATCTACGGATGAAAACCAGATATGTGGTAATGGGAAGTTGGATCCTGGCGAGCAGTGTGACGCTGGTTTCATGGGCCGTTTCATGCTGGATGATTGTTGTGACAGCTTTTGTAAGCTCCTGGGTAATGCTACATGCAGGTGAGTGTCCCATGACGCAGTGTCCTTGACCTGCTTTCTCTGCCATTGTATTGTTGCAATATTCCTTCATGAGCTTTTTCAGTTATTGATTGATTGATTAGTGTGTTCTGATTCTTAATGCAGGCGGGTCTTGCTAGTCACAGTTACCATGGCAGTGGGCTGCCTCCTCATGAACCAATATAAAACTGTTGTCTGGAAAGACAGAAAGGGGCCAACAATTCAGACTGTATGCCTGTCTTGCTTTTTTTCCCTGAGTGTTGAGTGTCCACTAGGTCTTCTGGTTATTTTCTGCTGCATGATTCTCTTTAGAACATGATGATTTGTTTGTGTCTCTTGCACAAATGACAAATGGGCTCTAACTCTTTAAATCCCAAGCAGTTGTTCCTTAAACTGCATCTGTCTCTGTTGTTTGGCAAAACCATTGACTGGCTGATGAAATAATGTTGTGCTGAAAACACCGGCATTGACCCGGTGGAGAACACACAATTGAAATATCTCAATTTTGTTGATGATATTGTTGCGCTAAGTAAAAACAGCAATGACATGGAGAGGCAAACAGGCGATTTAGCTACATGTAGCATTAAATGTTGGACTACAAATAAGTTATGAAAAGACAAATATATTGAAGACACCAACAACAGATCAAGCAGATGTTACACCAGAGACGGAGGGAATTAAAGTAACAGATCACTTTAATTATTTAGGTAGACATTTTGATAGGGAAGGAAATACAAAGAAAGAAATTATGACACACATTGACAAGGCATCAACAGCTTTTAATAGCTTGAACAAAATATGGAACTCTAAATTGTTTCGTTTTAAAACCAAGTTACTCATTTTCAGTTCTAATGTTATTTCAGTTTTAACAAATGTTACTGAAAGTTGGAGAACCATTGAAAACATGGAATGAAAGTGGAATGCATTTGAAAACAAAATGTCTGAGGAAAATGATGAAAATAAAATGGGATGAATTCAAAAGGAGTGAAGAAATCAGAGAAATGTCTGGACAACCACGAGTATCTACAGTTATAAGACAGAGAAGATGGCGCTACACTGGTCACATCCTGAGAAGAAACCAGCAGAGAATCACCAAACAGGCACTACAATGGGAAATAAAAAAGGGTTAAAAAGGGGAGGATTCCCGAAAGAAACCCTAAGATGAACGTTGATCAGAGAGACCAAAGCTGCTGGGCAGGATTCCATCCATGATATTCAACAGATTGCACATGATGCAATGGAATGGAAGAAAAGACTGTGCGCCCTATGTGACATATAAAGGCACAACAGGATAATGAATGAATGAATCCGAAGAAGTTGAGCTTAAAATCAGTGAATACTTAGGTCTGAAGGAGTTTAATAAAGACACATTTGGGACAGAAGTGCTTAAAATGATAATTCCAATACACATTGTTAATGGGAACATCTCCTTGTTGTAGAAGGCAACAAGAACATACTTTATCTTTGGACTAACCAAGGAATGTATAACGTATAGTGCATTGTTTAGTTTGGTACTAAAAGAGTGTATAACATCTAGCTTGCTATTCATCGGTTTGCTACTAAATGATCAAATGAACGAACAAACTTTATTTTCAAAGGGTTACAAATTGGGCATGCAGGCCCGTCTGACATTCGGCCCTTTTAAGCACTCGTTTTTCAGAGTACCCGTGCCTGTTATCAATAATGCATGATATGGATATAATAAAGAAATATAAATTATAGAATAATGCATACACACATGTATACACAATCGTACACACTCACACACACATATACATACTCCTCCTCTCATACATGCACACTCATATACAGACATATACAAACAGAAAACACACACACATACATTTATGGATATACATGCACACACACATTCCATACATACACACCTTTACATGCATCCATGCATACACACATATACAATCACATGTACATACACCAACATATGCCCACAACCACATATTTACACTCACATGAATACATACACCCACACATATGCATACACACACACACACATACATGCATAAATACACACATTTATACATACACTCACATCTTTATACATACATATGTACATACCTAAATACACACACATACACCCACATACTAACACAGCTAAATATGCATACATACATCCACCAACATGCATACATACACACACATAGATACATACATACATACATGCCCACAAACATTACATACATACACAGACATGCATGCATATACATATATACAAATCACCCATACAGATATTACATGCAAAACTGCATACATACATACTTGCATACATTATATACACAGACACACACCCACAGTGACACATACACTCATATACTATCACACATACTTACAACATAAATACATACACATACCTACAAACCTAAATATACTTTCAAATGATGCAGAACCAGCAAGTCAGTCTGCCCATTTATTTCCCAACACACCTGCATCCTTTGGAGAAATGAACCAAAGGGCCCTAACTACCAGGAACCTCTGGGGTGAAGCTGGCCACTTTGTAGGAGCATAGTTGTGTCCACCTGTCCTAGCTTGTTTTATGTCATTATGATTAATTCATGGACGACCTCTAGATCCACTTCCATTGTTTCTAAGTGATAGAGCACTCTGAGATGTAGTGCTGTTTGGCAGTATTGATACATGTCTGAACCATTTGATCTGCTGTCTTTTGAGGTAGCTTAGCACTGTTTCTGTCCAGGCCTGTTTCCTGATATCATGTCTTATCCTTAAGTGTCTCTGTCTGAATAAAGGGACAACTTTGTTATTTGGCCAGGTTTCTGTAAGCAGCATGCTCACCAACCCTAGTGGTCTAAAACATTGCTAAAGGCAGCATGGGAAGAAATGTAACCCAGAATGTTTTGGAGGGTAAGGGGAAGCTACCACATTGCTACTCAGGATTGAATAGTTTGAGGTGTCATTTTCATAACCAAAGAGAGGAGCACAAGACAGACAATTATGGAATGCAATGATGATCAGCGAACTTCACAACCAGCTCAAAAGCTGAAAAACTTGAGGATGATGATGATGGATTGTAGTCAGTTCATTCATCATCATCAGTTCTCGTTATGCCTAGTGGCACATGAGGCTTCAGAGAGGACTTTCCATGCTTTCCTGTCCTGTGCAATCTTCAGTGCATTTTTCCATGTCAAAGATGCCGCACTCAGGTCACTTTCCATCGTTTGTCTCCATGTTGTTTTTGAGCGCCCCTGTTTTCTCTTTCCCTCTGGTGTCCATGTGAGAGCTGTTTTGGCAGGTATATCAGGATTTATTCTCATAACGTGGCCAAGCCATTTCCATCTTCTCTTGGTTATCATACTGTCTAAAGTTTCTTGGTTTGTGACTTGAAGTAGTTTAGTGTTTGAGACTGTATCTGGCCAGACAATTTTGATAATTCTACGTAGACATGTGTGGTGGAAGGTGGACAGCCTGTGTGCATCCTATTCGGTCATTCTCCAGCATTCCGCTTATAAAGAAGAACTGGCAAAACAATGCTCTTGTAGAGTCGGAGTTTCGTTCCTCTGCAGTAACTGTTGGATTTCCAGATTTGCCTCATCCTTCCAAAAGCAGCTCTAGCTTTGTTCAGATGTGACTGTATGTCCTCTTCGGTCCCTCCCTGCAGGGACACCACACTGCCAAGATACGTGAAATGTTCTACATTTTCAAGAGTTTGGTTATTTATGGTCACTGATTGTTGGTTTGGACTGTTTGTCATGATCTTAGTAGTCAGTTCATTGATCATAACTAAAATGAATAATTCTTATCTCTACTTTCAGCCCAGTGAATCACGAGTGTTGCTTTGACTGTGCAGTCGCAACTGCAGGCACAACCTGCCGGTCAGATAATGAAATTGACTGTTTCAAGACAGCTGTTTGCAAATATCCTTTCCTTCAGTTTATGGGAAGAATGTAAAAGATGTTGTTTGCTTCATTAAAAAAATATTATAGAAATGTTTCCCCTGCCAGATTGCATCGTTAATAATTGACCTTGACATGCCACTTCAGACACTCTTACTCCCTATCTTTTTAATTTCTATAGTTCCCTTCTCCATGGTTTTACAAATTTTTTTTATCTGCCTTTATTTCTGTAACTCTGTGGGTTCCACTGTAGTGATGTTGTTCTGGGCCGGAGGAGTGAGGGTAGATGCACTGCCCCTGAAAAAGCATTAAGTAAAAATTGCGTGACAATAAGACCATGCTTCTAGTGTAGTTATTTTCATGTTTAAAAAAAAAAAAAATAAAATAAAGGTTCAAGTCAAGAGGATCGACTTCATTGGACTAGGTTTTATCCCAGAGTGCTTGGTCTCTCTTCATAGAATGGCTAGGCACCTGCTGAGAGTATCGCTTAGAGCATGAACGTAGCTCCAGCAACAATCTGCAGAGATTTCTTTAAAAAAAATTGCAGTCGTGAACTGAATGACACAGCCATAAAGTGTACTCACAGTCTTCAGAGCATGAGGCAAACAGCTTGACCCCATCATCACTTGTTTTCACATGTCCTTCTTCTTCTTCTGCTGCTGCTGCCGTCTCTGCTGCTGCCGCCGCCGCTGCTGCTGCTGCTGCTCCTCCTCCTCCTTCTTCTTCTTTATTGCGTTCACCGGCTGTAAACTCCACCGGAAAGTTGTATTTCTTCGTTCTTTTCTGGACTGCAGTCCTGTTCCAGAACCTGAGTGTTGCGTGTGCATCTGTTTGACAGATCTGTCTAATTTGTATGCAGACTGTTGGTTCCCTGACTCTCCTGCAGATACACTCCAACTTCAAAGGAAGCTCCCAATTAGTCGACTCCTACGACATGCTTTTGGGGAGGCAGTGGATCTATTCTTGTTTTCCCTATAATAGGCCCCCAGAACCCACACAGGGAACACGACCCTTCTGTCTGCAGATTGGTAGAGCCGCCAGTTATTAATTTAAATCTCTTCACTGCTAGGGGGCGCAGTTCTGTCTTCACATGGTGTTGGTCCATGGTGGTGAGAATACATCTGAGGACCTCTTCTATGTATATTAGCTGCTGTTTTCTAGCCATAATATTGTCATAACATAAGCAGTTGACATACTCCTGTTGAGAACTACCCCATGCTGAAAACTATTTCCCCTTTACTGCTGTTACTTTCCCATCTGGCAGCATGGTAAGGTTCAAACTCAGCTGTATGCCAGATTTCTTGTGGTATCAGGGTTCACCACTTATTGCACAGATGGGGGAGATGCCAAGAGGCATTATAACTTTCATTGCTTCATTGAAACCACATCAGTTAATGACATTGGGGGTTTTGCCGTAGTCTTGTTGGCACCTTTAAATCTTTCCAGGGGATAATGTTATATTGTGTTATAGGGCTCCATGGAAGTCGCAGCCCATGGCAATGGTGAATATGACCAACAAGACCCGCCTGCATTAAGAAGTCTCAGAGCATGGGATTTCCAGACAGTTGGTTCCACCACATGTATTGTGGTAGCTTACAGTCTAAGTTATTACATTGATTCCCGTGAGGGTTCTAGGGCCCCATTGTGGGAAAAACTAGAGTAGACTCACTGCCTCCCCAACAAGCGTGTCGTAGGAGTCAGCTAATTAAGGGTGTCCTGTGAAGTCGGTCCATCTGCCTGAGAGGCAAGGAACCAGCAGTCTGCATACAGGTAAGTCAGATCTGTAAAACAGATGTGCACGTAAGACTGAGGTTTTGGAACAAGTCTAAAGTCCTGAGGTCGATAAATAACCAGAACTTTCCGCTGGAGTTTACAGCTGGTGAACGGGAAGAAAAAAGAAGAATTACATTCAGGGTTTGCTGTGGTATAGCATTTGTGAACATATTGTCCCTTAATTATTTGACTGGTGTCAGCCTGGAGTGCCAGGAGCCTGAACGGAAAGCTGACAGAGAAGCTTGTCTTGATGAGTAAGTGTCATCCCATGAACCTACATGTGTCAATTGATTTCGTAAGATGTAATATTCTGTTCAACTCTTAAGGGCGATCAATCAGGTGCCATCTCCAAAGTGAAGATTGGCTGCAGTTGATCTCCAACACTCTGTTTATTGTCTTTATTGTACACTGTCTCAAGCTGCTGTTTGTCCATCTCTTAATGTTGTCCTCCCACTTGTAACATTGTCTACCTCTTGCTCTTTTGCCCTCAACCTTTCCCTCCAGTATGGTTTTTAAAAGTGTATTATGTTTTTTAGTATGGCCAAAATATTCCAGTTGTCTGTTTCTTTATTTCTTTAAATAGTTTTTTTTTTCATTTACTATCTTTCCATACCTCTGTATTTGATTGTTTTTGTGTTTTTAAGGGTAGTAACTGGGATATATATATTTCTGCCAGAGTTTACAGCTGGTGAATGCGAAGAAGAAGAAGAAGAAGAATACCTTAAGACTTTAAAGTAACATATTCCTTACTGTTTTGTCTGTGAATTCCTGAGGTTGGCTCTAAACCTCATTTTGGGGGAACAAGAATAGAGTCACTTCCCCTTAACAAGCAAGTTGTAAAAGATGACTAATCAACAGTTTGCTGAAATTGAATGTTTTGGGCTAGTTAAACGGTGCAAATATCACAGCCTAGCTGTAAACCGCAACACAATATGCCAATTACCATTTTAAGGGCTAACACAGAAGAGGAAGTGTCTGAATATGTTGAACTCCCATGCTGTCAAGTTGTATCGTTTGATATTTTTTTCTGCAGAGGACAGTGCTTTTCTGGGGAATGCCTGCCATTTTGTGAAGCCAGAGGTCTGATAACATGTGCCTGCGAAAATCGTAAGATAATTTAATTTTCTTCTTTTTCTTCTTATTCTTTTTCTTCTTCTTCTTATTCTTCCTGCTCCTTCTCCTCCTCCTTCTTCTTCTTCTTCTTCTTCGCATTCATCGGCTGTATACTGAATCAGAAAGTTCTGTTTGTTTATCCACTTTTGGACTTTATTGTTGTTTCAGAGTTTTGCATGTACATTTATTTAACAGATTAGCCTTATTTATTTGCAAATGTTTGATTCCTTGCTTCTTAGCTCTCCGATTTTGAAGGGAAAAAAAAACCCTAATTATCTAACGTTTACAACATGCTTTTTAGGGGGCAATGATTCTGTTCTATTTTCTCATGGTTGTTCGGTAATTACGAGTGTTGAAGACCACTTTCATCCAAAGTAGTAATGATCAGTGATAAAGAGTACTAGGGTGGCTGATTAGTCCAATAGTTCTTGAGCAGTGCAGACAACAGATGGAAGCCGCAGTAAGTGTGGGATTAGCAGTACGATTCTCTCTAGTCACCCTCCGTTTTTTTTTCCTCTGCAACCTCCGCTGCCTGGCAGGCAGATACACCATGCCTGAGGGATGTACACCATCAGAACGGTTTTGTACAGCAGCCTCCCACGTCGCTGTGTTAATGCCAAAATAATTGAGAGTAGTCTTCAGAGTGTCTTTATAGCACTTTTTCTGTCCTCCCTAGGACCTCTACTCTTGCTGGAGCTTGCCATAAAATACTTTCTTTGGGAGGTGATACCACCTTGCTTTACACCATTTCAGACAGGGAAAGAGTCTGACAGTTTTCCATTCTTTAGCACTCTGGCCTGCATATTTTCCTAATAAACTTCTGAATTTAGCCATGATAACCCACAGTCCTCCTCTACTGACTGTATCAAAGGCCTTTGTGAAGTCTGTGATGGTAGAATAGAGGTCGCAGTTTTGTTGTTGACACTTTTCCTGGAGCTGGCAAGCAGCAGAAATCATGTCAATGGTCCCTCGCTCTTTCCCAGTAATGTGACCCTGGATCCACATGGAGGTAATTTTATGAGTAGTTTCATTCTAAACATACAAAAAGTGACTGGCAGTAAATGAAATTGTGGACACTGGCGCTGGGTCACTCGGTTCCTCTTTGTTGTGGGATGTTAGAGGAGTTTCATTGTTTCATCATCATCATCATCATTGTTCTGTTTCACCATTTGTGTCACATAAGGTTATTCATTTATTCCTTCATTCCATTTTAGGTGTGGTTTTTGGTTTAAATTTTCAAAAACAAAAACAAAAAAAACTGTTATATGAGCTGCATTCTGTAAGGACAAGCTGCTTGATAACACTCATAGTGTCAGGTGAAGATTAGTAAAACACTGACCTACTGAAAATCACACACTGAGCAGAACCTAGCAGATGAAATAAAAACTTCAAGTATGAGAATGGAGATTGAGGCTGGCACTGTGACACTGGAATAGCTTGTGAGTTCGTCACTTTCTGCACCCCAGAGAAACAAGCACTATACATAATTTTTAATTTTTGTGTGTGTATTTGTATGAATTTCTTACAGTGGCATCAGCATGCCAGCGTTGCTGTCGAGCCAACAATGTTTCTGAGTGTCGGCAGTTTGACAACAAGCATCCGTTACCTGATGGGAGATCCTGTATTCAGGGCTACTGTCAAGGGGTTTGTCTCATTTCTCACAACAAGTATTTAGAAGCGTGTTTTCTGGATGTGTACATTTGATAATAAATTATCATACAGCTCAGTAAATTAGCGCAGTCGATAGGAGTCTCGCTTTCAGATCCAGCTGCGAATCACTGCAGCCCACGGCCGGTGTTCTAAACCAGGCTGTTCCCCCGGGGTTCACCCAGCCTCAAGGAAATGGGTACCAGAGTTAACACTGGGGTAAATGGAGAAACGTCGCTGTAACTACGGAGTTGCATGCGGACGGCGACACAGACGGACAGTTTCTTATCAGCTGTCTGTACTGGTGGCAGAGCACTTATGGTTTATAACCATGTGCAATAACACTGGTTCACATCTCCCCACTTTACCTTTTTTTTTAACTGAACCTACAACCTTCGGATTCACAGATGAACATCTAGCCGCTACACCTCAGCTGTTCCCAGTTAATTTATCAGTGACAGTTAACTAATTTGTCATTTAGCTAATCAATTTGTCACTGACAGTTAAATAATTTGTCAGATAGCTAAGCAATTTATCAGTGACAGTTAAATAGTTTGTCAGATAACTAAGCAATTTATCAGTGACAGTTGAATAATTTGTCAGATAACTAAGCAATTTGTCACTGACAGTTAAATAATTTGTCAGATAACTAAGCAATTTATCAGTGACAGTTGAATAATTTGTCAGATAACTAAGCAATTTGTCACTGACAGTTGAATCATTTGTCAGATAACTAAGCAATTTATCAGTGACAGTTAAATTATTTGTCAGATAACTAAGCAATTTGTCACTGACAGTTAAATAATTTGTCTGATAACTAAGCAATTTATTAGTGACAGTTAAATAATTTGTCAGATAACTAAGCAATTTATTAGTGACAGTTAAAATAATTTGTCAGATAACTAAGCAATTTATCAGTGACAGTTGAATAATTTGATAACTAAGCAATTTATCAGTGACAGTTAAATAATTTGTAAGATAACCAAGCAATTTGTCACTGACAGTTAAATAATTTGTCAGATAACTAAGCAATTTATCAGTGACAGTTAAATAATTTGTCAGATAACTAAGCAATTTGTCACTGACAGTTGAATAATTTGTCAGATAACTAAGCAATTTATTAGTGACAGTTAAATAATTTGTCAGATAACTAAGCAATTTGTCACTGACAGTTGAATAATTTGTCAGATAACTAAGCAATTTATTAGTGACAGTTAAATAATTTGTCAGATAACTAAGCAATTTATTAGTGACAGTTAAAATAATTTGTCAGATAACTAAGCAATTTATCAGTGACAGTTGAATAATTTGATAACTAAGCAATTTATCAGTGACAGTTAAATAATTTGTAAGATAACCAAGCAATTTGTCACTGACAGTTAAATAATTTGTCAGATAACTAAGCAATTTATCAGTGACAGTTAAATAATTTGTCAGATAACTAAGCAATTTGTCACTGACAGTTGAATAATTTGTCAGATAACTAAGCAATTTATTAGTGACAGTTGAATAATTTGTCAGATAACTAAACAATTTATTAGTGACAGTTAAATAATTTGTCAGATAACTAAGCAATTTATCAGTGGTAGTTAAGCATTGACCCTGGACAAATATCTTAGCAGTTAAAAGTTACTAAAACTAAGGTAATTTATTTGTCATTAATGAGTAACTAACACTT